TATACCTCATCCCAAGTTCACTTGGAGGGAAAATAAAAAAATAACACCACCATCACCTAAGTCCTCTCAGCTGTATGCTTTTATTGTCTTCCCGTCAGCTCTGGTGGGCTGAAATATCTGATCACAGTCCTGAGCTCAACTGTTCTGCCTTCAGTTGGGATAACTTTGTCACTTGGTACCATCCAAAGATGATCAGGATAAACACATGACTATTGGCCTATTGGCAGAAACACTTGACAAAATTCACCTTGAAATTTGAGTGGTCTGATTAAAAGTCTGTGGTGATCAAATATCTCGTGCATACTTTTTCATTTAGTCAGTTAATGGTGATGGCCCAAAGCCACATCCTGCACCATGATGAAATAAAACCACACTGCCAGCTAGTCACTTCAAAAATGGATTACTGCAGCAATGAGTAGCTGCAAAGAAAGTTCTAACACCAACAGGTGTTATTAAAAACACCACAGGTGGTTTTTGGAGATGTAGAAATAAAATGTTGACCTGGTGGGCCCTCCAGCTGAGCTTCAGTGCTGGTCTTTTTGATATCCAGCTGTGCAGCACCTCACAGGGTTTCGTGCAGGAGGGAAGCCTCTTTTTCTCATAGAAGCCTGGCTGGTTTAAGGCTTTGTTGCATAGTTGAGTAGTGTGGGCAGAAAACATTTGCAAACAGCTCTGCACACAAAAACTTCACGTGCTTTCTCTAAAGGGCTCTGTATCCTAGGAAAACCAGGTGGGTAGGATGGTGAATGGCAGGAAGGCCAGGTGATGCCTTATGAAGGCTGACCTAGAACAGAGACTAGATGGAGCTAAAGAATAAAGGAGGTATTTATTACAAGGCCTCAATGGATTCACCTTGGGCAGCACAAGAGCCCAGCCAGGGCTACACCCAAGATGAACCCAAAATGGTCACAAAAAGGACAAGTGGTCACAGGGTCTCATAATTTTGTAAGTTCTGGTCCATTAGCATATTGGAGCTAATTGTCCAATTATAGCTTTAGGTTATGAAGTCCCATATTTGTTTTTCTCTCTTCAGTCCACTGTTCTTTATGCTCTTGGGCCTGAAATTTGGATCATTTGTCCTTGGTCCCCAGCTAGAGAAGGAATTGTTTTGTCTACCTGTTCTGTGAAGAGAGCTTACCATCCCCTAATATGAAGCTCAGAAGTACACTCTAAAGCAGTACAGAATCCGAAAAATAGAAAAGCTAAAACCTGAGGCATCACAGGTGGAAAGCCTAGGTGATGGACACCTCGGGCACCTTTCTGCAGCTGCCACCTTCCAAGTGACAGGGGCATAAAAACGGCATGAGAATGGAAGTTCAGAGGGGTTTGCAGAAGTAGAACTTTGCACTTCAGCAAAAACATGTGGGTAAGAGGTAAGCTCTGGAGCAGAAAAAGGGTTTCACCAGCCAAGGTGTGAGGGTAGCTAATGCGTGCCCCAGGTGGTGTGAGCTTTACATGTGTGGTTTCTGCTGCTGAGCATGCTCTCTGGGGAAGGACACCCACATATGAGTGCTAATTCAGGCATTGGTACAATCTTCCTATTTCTGGCATTTCAGTGGCTTTTGTTGGCAGGCAGAAGGGGCAAGAGATGAGCTCAAACCAGGTGGTGCAAGGAGTGCACCACTGGATGCTGCTGGGATGTCTTTAAAGGGAAGGGAACACATCCATCCTGCAGCAGAGATGGGAGGCTGAGTAGATGCTGCAGGGGCAGAGAGTAGAACAGATGTAATGAAATCTCCAGGGGGAATTAAAACCGTTAAAGGAAGGAGTCAGAGTAGGGAGAGAAAGAAAAGTTTGTTTTTATGTGGATTTGTACTTAAATACTTTTTTTTCCTCAGTCATAGATTTTTCACAAGAAACATACACCACTGTTACTCCAGCTTTAAAGATGCAGGCCTTGTGTAGTTGCATAGCTGCATGTTTAATTACTTGTTTGTAAAAGGCACAGCCACCTGATCTGAACAGAGGCAGAGACACAGCAGATACTGGGGACTCTTAATGCTCATTCGAGAACAGGGAAAAGCTACAGCTAAGTGCACCGTGAAGTAACTGTTTTAGGATTCAAACCTAATATTATTCTGTATACAAACTGTATCCTGAGACAAATACACGAGAACTTACAGCATAAGTAAGAAAAGAAAAGAGCAGTAATAGGGGATAAATGTCAGGGAGTTACAGACTGGAGGTAACAGAGAAGGCTGGATGAGAAAGGTGAGGGACTAGATCCATTATTGTGCAGTTTCCCTATGTTATGATTAAAAAAATTGGGCAGTTTTGAGGTGATGAGAATGTACTGTTAGTATTGTTTTCTTCTTGATTATCTTAGATGTGCTTTTTGCACTTCTAGCTCTCTTAGGGTAACGGAGTGATGCTGCCCAGAGGATTCTTTCCGGTGTCTGGATCTGTCCCTTGCCCAGCCTTCCGTTGTGGGCTCTCATGTGCTACTGATACATTTCATGTCAAAAGATCAAACACACCTTGGGGGTTTTTGGGGGTTGGTTTTTTTTTGTTTTTTTAATATAAAAATCATCTCTTCCAAAACAAAAAGTGCAAACTGAAATTATAATCAGCATATTTTTGACAGTGCAGTAGAACATTACATTTATAAATATAAATTACAACTAAATATTTAGTTGCCTTTAGAATTTTACATAAAATTAATACAGTAAAATGCAAATTTAAAAATACATACATACATTTTTTTTTATAAGTTTTCATAATAAATTCATAATGAGCTCAAAATCAGTTTCACAACTGCTGAACAGTGTGTCTGCTATTGGTAAAAGCTGTCTGAGTTGCAAGAATCAGCACTGGTTTATCATCTCTCAAGTTCTGCTTCCAAGATTTCTCCCCACGTGTCGACATCCATTGGATACATGCTTTTCTCTGGCAAACTGAATTGTGAAGGAATGTTGCTGTATTTCCCACTAAGCCATTCTTGCTTCACTTTGCTTTTCCAGTAGTTTCTCAACAATGTAATCTGGTGGAAAAACATATAGTCAGATCTCAGAAAGGAACCAATTTAAACTGCATTCAATATAATAAGTTTACACTAGAGGAGTAGGGCTAGAAAAGGGATTTGGAATGTGCTTTTGGATACCTAGACTTTAAGTCCAGGAAGGTGAAATGCTGCCGAGAAGCAGAACATGTTCTACTTCCAACTTTTCTGTTCCAGCCTCAGTTCTTTGGTGGTCAAGATGAAAAACCCAAACCAGGAATTTGTCTTACTCCTTAAAAAAGGCGCCTTCCACTTTCTATTTAGGTTGTGACCTTTCTTTTGTTGGGAGACTGTCTGGGTTCCTCTCTTCTGCCAGCCTTTAAGGACAAGAAAATGTAGACTTGGTGTGTTTGTAGCTTCTATTTCAAATGCCCTCCAGATAAAACAGACAGTCAGTGCAGGGAGTTCTGGAAATTGCTGTGCAAGGGTAGCAAGACCTATACACTGAAAGGGTAACCACTATCTGCTCATGTCTGTGTCTCACATTGCAGAAACTTTACTGAAATGTCAGAGTCCAGTGGCTGCTTTTGTTTCTTTTGCTGCTGGTTCTCTCTCTTCACCCCTCCAGTGCTCTCAAACACACCAGCTAAACTAAGGTGAGAGATTACCCTATAGCAGGCCCAGAGTAACCTGTGGAACCAGCTACCCGGTCTACCTGATCAGGTCCTGATCTATCTCAACTTCCAGGCTGGATTCAACAGTGAGAGATCATTTGGCAGGTTCTGGAGCTGAACCTGCTGCAAACTGCTCAGAGCAGTCTGTGTGTGGGGAGTTTTTCTAAACAGTTTATAAAAGCTCCTGCTCATTTCCTTTCCTATTCCCCATTTTTTTTTTTCCTCCTGAATGTGTCACTTGAGGTATATTGAGACAGCACTATCCAGGATGATTTTTCAGGAAGTCATTCCTAACCAGCAGATCTGTTTCCACAAAACAGAACAGGAGAGCACACACTGCCTTATCGGAGTTCTGTTACCCAGTTCCTGCCGGCCCCATCTGCGGGAACTTTGTCCCGTGTCAGGGCTGGTGTATGACGAAGGTCAGCGCTGAGGCTGGGCGGGGCAGCAGGAGGACTTATGCCGAGCCGGACAGGTTGTGTCCCGGGTAGGAAAAGGGACAGCCTTGCTTTATCTCCCAGTGCATTTTACCAGATGTCCCTCTGCCGGGATGCTCTAGCGAGCCACGCTGTCACCGCAGCCGACCCCGCACAACCCTGGGATGGGTGCGACAGGCTGATGTCATTTCCTTGTATTTTCTATTGGCCCTCAGCATTCTCGTTTATGTCACTGACGGTGTTCAGCCGCTGGAGGTGGATTTACCTTCCAGGAATAGCCGTTCCCTCGGTCGCAGTCGATCTCCCGCTGGCAGACGGCGCGCACGGCCAGGCAGTGGTGCCGCCACAGCCGCTCGTTGCTCTCGATGACGCGGTGCCAGCCCTTGCACGTCACGGACGCGTGGCACAGGCTCTCGACATCCAGCCCGCTGAAAATCCGGGAGGTGATCTCGGGAGGAAGGGCAGACACGAAGTCACCCAGTCCTCCTCTTCCTCCCTCGGCGCTGTCCCGGCCGGCGGCGCGCTCCGCGTCCATCCCCGCGGCCTCGGGGTGGGGAGGCGTCACTGCGGCCTCTCTGTGTGCGGCCGGCCGCCGCCGGCAGCGCTGCGAGCTGGCTGCCTGCCTGCCGCCATGTCCCCGTCGCCCGCCCGCCGCGGGTGTGCGCGTGGAGCGCTGCTTTCGGGGCGAATCTCCGCAGTTTCGGCACCGCGGAGGCGGCGCCGCCGCACGGCCCGGGGAAGCCGCGCGTCACGGGGCGGCCGCGCGTCATCAGGCGGCGGCGGCGGCGGCTCCTGCCGGGCTCGGCACCTCCTCCGTCCCTGTCCCTGTCCCGGCGGCTCCGGCAACCCCGAGGTGAGGCCGGGCCAGCCCCGCAGAGCCGCGGGCCCGAGGGGGCGACCCCCGCTCCCGTCCATGTCTTGGTTCGTGTCCGCAGCCGCGGGGTTCGAGGGGGAGCGCTGTAGCCCCGAGAGTGGAAAGGGCAGGGAAAGCTCGGCTCCAGCGGAGGGCAGCGAGGATGATTGGGAGAGTGGAGCATCTCTCGTAGGAGCAAAGGCTGCGGGAGCTGGGCCTGATCGGCTTCGAGAAGAGACAGCTGAGAGGGGACCTCAGTAATGAGTATAAGTATCTAAGAGAAGAGTGCCAGAAGTATGGACCAGGTTGTGCCCACTGTTTCAGAACTATAGGACAGGAGGCAATGGGCAGAAGCTGATTCACAGAAGTTCCCCCTGACTATAAGGAAGAAGTTCTTTACTGTGCCTGGCTGCACATGGAACAGATTGCCGAGAGAGGCTGAGGAGTGTCCCTCAGTGAGGATATTCCAGAACCATCTGGACACCATCCATGTGTTCTGGGATGACCCTTCTTGAGCAGGGAGCTGGGGCCAGATGACTCCCTGTGGTCCCATTGAACCTCACCCATCCTGGGGTTTTGTGAGCCCCTGCGGAGCTGAAGGGCTGAGGGCCGAGCTTAGCCTTTGGTGTTTCTCTTCACAGGGCCACAAAGAGCAAGCTCAGCTGGTCAGCGTGCGGTCTCTGCAGTACAGAAAGTTCTGGAAGGGTTGGCAGAGACTCCCCAGTGCTCTGTGCAGGGAATACTGCAGCAATTATGACTTGTTTTTCCCTGATTATTTGTGCTGGTGAATTGAGTAGTGGAAAGGCAATGTGTTGAAGGAAAAACAATTGCACTTTGGGTGAGCTTTCATAACCTAAAAAGCTTTTTAGATGTTGTGGCTCTGAACTGAGGCTTTTGAAACTAGCACCTGCGAATCCAGTGTCACCTCAGTGCTGCAGGCTTGTAGCCTGTAGTGAGGACTTGCTGGGAAGTGCTTGATTCATTGGGCATCTTAAAATTGTTGCCTGACTTTTAGGATAGGATCAGATTTTTTGGGGTTGTGCAGATTTACCATAAAGCAAATTCTAAGATGCAGTTTCGGCTTTCTCAAAGTTTTGTCATGGCAGCAACCAGTGTTAATTAGGTACTTAAGCCCCAAAACACCACAGTTGTGGTCAGCAGTTATTAGAGAGTCTTTTGTTCAAAACCCTTCAGGTGTGAGGTAAAAGGAAGATGCATTTATTTCCTCTGTAAGCTGATGTTAAGAGGATGTTGACAATCAGTTTCAAACTGCATTTGTTAATGGCAAACATTCAGACCAACTTTTGTGTTTGAGTCAAAAGCGCGTGTTTATATTTGTAGTGTGTGAGTAGATCAAATTGATTTTGTTTTGTCAGAAAAACATCAGGAGGCTGATGCAGAAGCACCAACTGTTCATGCTGTTGAGATGTCCTGTATTCCATTGTTAATTGAATGTTCCAGCTCTGAGGTACAGGGAGCTGCAGAAACAAGGAATAATGATGCTAACTCCAGCTTTTTGGTGGGTGTTTAAGTTTTTAAAGAAGTTTAATATTTGTAAGCATGTATTGAAAGTTAAGGAGGTGTTATGTTCTCTATACAAATGAAATGTCAGCCTTTGCTGTAGTTGAGGTCCCTGGGGTGGACTGGCTCAGGAAATTCAAAATGATAGTGTTGTTTTCAGTAAATAATGAATGTGACTTTGGTGTATTTGCATTGTTTTTACAGAGATTTAGAGTCTGGTTACTTTCTGGAGAAATAAACTGTAGGAATGCAAAAAAGACTTTTATGTTTGAAGGGTTTTGGGGGTTTTTTTTCTTGGACAAGTAGGCTTTTGTTAAACTTGCTCTTTCTGTTATATCTCTGTAGGGAAACTAGAGCAAGGTGGTGGTAAAGCTCTTCAATGAATCTTTCAGTTTGTAGCCTTTTACATATTTATTCTAAATATCTAAGAAGTTCTGTTTTATTTTGTTTTGTTTTTGCTGAATGAAGGTTCCAATAAATGTTGTTTTTCTGAGTGGGTGGAAACTCAAAAAAAAGTAAAATATTTGAGCAATGGTCCCCATAGAAAAAGTAGGTTGTTACCCAGACTGCTTTTGAAGGGCATAACTGAGTACAAGCTGTGGTCTAGTTTCCCCCCATTCTTCTGTAACTGGATAAAGGCACTGAACAGTAAATGTTCTTTCAGGTTCCTCTTTCTGATGGTGATGAAAGCAAAGAGTCAAAATCTGTTCAAAAAAAGAGAGTGCTTCCATCTTGGATGCTGGAAGGAGATCTTGTGGTGCAGAGGGTTTCCAGGCCTGTTATGACAGGAGGTAGGTTTGCAGTGTGATAATGATTGCATTCTGATATGCATTTCTGTGCTTTGATATAATTTTTTAAATTATAATGGTGGTGGTAGGAAGTATTAATTTACTACTTCTCTTTCCATGCTCTGTGTGTGACTGACAAAACTTCTGTTATCTCCTTTGTCATCAGTCCTATGGGAGTGATAGAGCTCTTTTTCATCACTTAATTTTCTTTCTGTTCTTTTTGTTTTTTGCCAGATAATAAACTTTGTGCAAACTGTTGGATGTTCAGGAGCCCTTTCCTATAAACTTGCCTATTTTGTATGTAAATTCTAACTAGTTTCTGTCTCTTTAATTCCTAACGTTCTCTACACCTAAGTCACTGATGTTTTGCCCTTCTAAATTTACATTGTTAATTTCACAGGTTTTGAAGGCAGAAGGGTTTGGGTGGTGTTGCATGTTAGATTTTTAATCGTTATTGAATCAAACTTGGTTATTTAGACCAAAATTAATTCCTAGGAGGAGCAGTTCATGACAGTTGATAGATTCTTACCAACTTAAGGCTAAAATAGTGTTGCATTCCCTCCTGTTCTTGTGGGAAAAGAAATTGCTGGATGTGTCATGTGCTGCTGCTGCTGTCTATCAGCAGTGGCAGCAGCAGAAGGCTGTGCTCAGTCATTGTCAGTGGGACACACAAGGTGCCTGTGCATTGGCACAAGCTCAAGAAGGCTTTCTAACCTGTCTGCCTTTGGTCCTGGGAGCTTCTAAAACTGCCATTAGACAAACTTTCTACGTGGCATTTATTGCCCTTGTGACTTTTCTTGGTGGAACAGGAGGGCCAAAGAAGTGAGAGGGGGAAAGTATTTCTGTCATTCCCTGTGCTGAACACAGCACACCCCACCCTGTTTGCCCTTCTGTGGGGAGGTGTGAAGTGGTTTGGGTGCAGACTTGAGTTTCCTTTGCTGGTCAGTCCCAGTGTATGAACTGTGGCTGGTGAGTGTGTGTCTGCTCCCCTGTGTGCAGCAGCTCTACTCTAGTGACTCTTTCCAGCTGCTGCTTCTGCTGAGATGCTGTTGGGGATTTGGCTCTAAATATCCAAGCAGGACTGCAGGAGTATGTTATGCAGTGTCTGGCCAGTTGCTTCTTCCTTCCTGTTGTAAATACAGGTGTCTCTGTGCACTGATGAGGGCAGCTGTGGCTTTAAACACCTCAGTCATGTGCCATCCACCACACTGCCTATGCTTTTCCTCAAAAGCTAGTTTGGAAAAAATTATAAGATGACAAAGAAAATCTGTGTTTCAGTATTTTTTTTTCTTTCATCTCGCTTCTAAATCTAGACTGTTCCCTCCTGCCATATTTATATAAAAATTGCATGGTGTTGAGTCCTGTACTGGTGTGATAGTTTTCTTATATTTGTGCTTTTGTTTTGTATTTTTGGGGGAGTGGGTTTTTTTTGTCTATTTGTTTGTTTCTCTGCCAGTACTTACAACTTTTGTTGTATGTCGGGGTCCGCTGTTATTTGTCTCTGCCCCGACACAGGAAAAGTGGTTCTGGGTGGCCGCCTTATCTTCAAAAGCTCTCTCCTTAAAGAAGAAAGGCCAAAAAACTTCACCATGTCATCAATCCAAGATCTCGTGATTTCGCCGAGTTTCTTTATGCTATCCTTTATTTTTTGTATATTTTCATGAATTGACTTTGAGTCATCAGAGAGATCATACAGCACATTCCCTCAAATTCTTGACATCCATGACCATGAACTAGCAACAGATAATCAATTGTCGCTCTGTTCTGTAGAGTTGCCTGTCTTACACTGTCCATGTCTTGCAACATGTCACTCAGTGCAAGAGAGACTGATTCAGCGTGTTTGCTCAGCCAACAACCCATGCGGTCCATTTGAGTCAAGGCCACCACCGAGGCTGTCTGAGGTGAGAAAATTGCTGTCGCAATTCTCCTTGCCTTGTCCCAAGTGTACACTTCATCGTTGCAATTCACATTATAGTGTTTCAAAGATCTTTTCTCTTTGCGTTTTTGCTCTCTCTGCCATTTTCAGTCTGGTGATAACATTGAAATCTTTCCAGTGCTGCATGGACCTCCCTTGGCATTTGAAGGAATGCCGTGCCAAATTCTGTCTCCACAAATCAAAAAGAATCCCCTCGGCAAATGCACTGGAACCTGGAGTGATCCTCTGGTTGTCATCGTAGTGTTTTTGCACAAAGCTGATGCATTTCTGTAAAACTCCGGATTTGAAGTGACATCGATGGTATTGTTTGTTTTTCTTGAAATTTCAAACTGCATGCACATGTCCATTGTCATGGATCCGAAAATCTTCAATTCCTGAGGTTCAGTAGAAGCCACAGGTAAAAGATGTGTAGATGTGTCCAAGCACACCACTCATTCACAGGATCTTTAATGACCTGCGAAATCTCAATTGCAGTGTGTCCTGGAATCGGCCATTCGCTCGCTGGCAACCCAATCATGCATGCCGAGTATGGTTTTCCTGGTCTAGAGTGTGTCAGGCAGATGCTGTCTAAATTTTCTGCCTGGGCTAAAACTTCCCAAACATTTCTCTCTGGCTGATCAGTGGGTAAATTTGCCCTGCTGTTCACAGCGATTGACAATGGAATTAAACACATGAGCATTGTGAAGCGTATAACTTCACCCTTGCGAACAAACATTACCGTCTTTTCACTCAAAATCTTTAAATTCCCCCAAAGTTTTTGCTTTTATTGTTCAGGTTCTTCTGAGTCATCTTTCGCAGTCTGGATCTCCTCCTCTGTTTGAGTGCTCGTCTCTCTGCTTCTGGAATCAGTGCTCTCTGGTCCTTGTGTTCGGAACGGTTTCATGTGCCGCACCGACACCCACTTTGGACCTTGCCCTGTGGAAACACAAGCGAAACCCTTGCCCCAAGTGATTAGTTTGAAGGGACCTTCTGTTTGTCCTGACTCTGGGTTTCTGATCAAAACCAAAGGATTCTCCCTTAGTTTTGCCTGTGAACTGTTCGAGAAATGTCTCAGGATTGGTGGATTGGGCTCTGAAGATGAACTATTTAGAAAATTCAACACATACAATGCTTAGTTCAATTTCATGTGTGTCATCGCCTCTGGTTCCCCTCTTTTCTGCCTATCTAGCAAAGATTTTAAAGTATGATGTGTTCTCTCAATGATTGCTTGACCTGTGGGTGAATATGGAGTACCATATGTATGTCTGACACCCCATCTTTTCAGGAATTTGTCAAGCACCCTGCCTGTATACGTTGGACCATTATCTGTTTTTATTTCTTGAGGCATGCCCAATGACGCGAATGCTTGCAGAAAATGTTGACAAGCATGATCTGCTGTTTCCCCTGCATGTGCTGAAGCAAAGACTGCTCCTGAAAGTGTATCTACCGAAACATGAACATTTTTGAGCTTCCCAAATGATGGATACTTAATGACGTCTGCTTGCCACAGTTGAAGACTTTGCAGTCCTCGTGGATTGACCGTTCCTGTGGAAGCTGGTGGCTGTACAAGTTGACAATCTGGACAAGCATTAATAATTTCCCTCGCCTGAGTTTTTGTGAGATGAAAAGATTCCATCAACGCTTGTGCATTCTGATGAAAAAATGCATGACTTAACTTTGCCTGCTCAAAAATGTCTGGAAGTGTTTGTGAAATGGGCATTGTGAATCTGTCTGCTTGAGCATTTTCTTCTGCTAAAAACCCTGGAAGTGTTGTGTGAGCTCTGATATGTGTGATAAAATACTCGTGCTCCCTACTTTCTAATAATGTTTTCATGCCTGACAGATATGAATATAAATCTTCATTGCTGGCCTCTTTCAAAAGTGAACCCTCCAATCGCCTGACCGCACCCGCAACATATGCGGAATCTCTCAATTTTTCTCGTTCAAGGGGCCACTGATCCACCCAAACTGGATCATCTGTTTTCCAAGTCAATTTCAGTGTGGCGAGTGCCGCAGTGACCCCTACTAAAAATCCGGCTCGATCTTCGTCCCCTCATTGAGCCAAAAGATCCCTTCCCCAAACTTGATGGGCTTCTGCACAGCAAAATGATCGCTGTCTTGTTTCCTGGCCCTGTAACAACGATGGAATTTTTACTCTGCAAGCACAGAGAAGCTCCCCCTATATCTGAGAGAGATCCCAATGGTACAATCAAACTCCAGTCACGTGGCCAAAAAATGTACGATATCGCTGTAACATCTGCTCCTGTATCTAACATTCCTCTAACTGCTATTGTTCTGTCCCTACAAGTCAACTGGCATGTCAGTGTGGGTCGATCTCGGCCTGTGTGTTTTATCCATGTAGTATTTATTTCAACGTCCTCCTTCAAAGGATGCCCTTTTTCATTGAAAATCGACATGACCTGCTCCATGGCATGTGGTGGCAAAGTGAAAGCTCTCACAACTTGGGTGTTTTCTGCCACGATCAACGGTGGACGAAGAGCTTTTGCTAAAACTGTGAGTTCCGTGTTCTTGTCTGCTGAGACAACAGTTGGATAAACAATGAGACCAAGGATGCTACTTTTGTCTTGCCCAACTATCAAAAAATCCTGTTTCTTGTATGAATTGCTATGGACACCTGTCGGTATCTCTGCATGACTTTCATCCAAGAAACATACTATTTTGGAAGCTGCCAATGTGCACTGTGCTCCTGGTGGAAGGATGTCTGGGTCGCTGGGAATTCTGCTGAGGACTTTGCTGAGGGTATCTGCATGCTGTTCTCTGATGACTGTTTTGTCTGTTCTTGTGCCATCACCATCACTTGTGTCGTTGCGCGCTGGCGATCTGTTTGCGCGCTCCTTCTCCCGTTTCCCGTATGTGGTAAAGGATTCCCTTCCACATCTGTCTGAGAGTAGCATTCTCTCGCAGAGTGTCTTCCACTTCCACACCGTACGCAAATCAGTCTTTGTGGCTTTGGTGTCTGCACTGTTGTCTGTGTCTGTGGACAATTCTTGATGTGCCCAAACGCTCCGCACTTGTAACACTGTCCTCCTGATGGACTGTTCTTCTTCTGAATGGCTGCAAGAACTTTGTCCATCATCTCATCTTGTCTTTGAAACCCTTTGTCCATTTTTTCCAGTATCTTTTCTTCCGAGTGTCTCCCTGCGTGTTCCTTCATCTGTCCTTCCCATTCTCCTCTCAGTTCGTCCCTCACGATCGATGCAACGTGCTGAGGTGTTCCCACCTTGCTGCATGCCTCCACCATCTCTGCCAAGGATGGCTGACCTGGCATTGCGATGATGACCCATTGGCAATCCGGGTTGGCACTGCTGAATGCTAAGCTTTCCATGAGAGGTTGTTTTGCGCCTTCAATTGTCACCTGCCTATCCACAGCTTGCGAAAGTCGATCTATGAATGATGAATGCGGTTCTGTGGGACCTTGTCTGATTGTTGAGAATGGCACATCTGGAACGCCCGCTGGAGCAATCTGCAGGATCGCTCTTCGTGCTGCTTCCTTGATGTCATTCAGCACTCGTCTCGGAAGTCGTACTGCTTGTTTTGCTGGATTGTCGTCTGGAGGATCTCCCGCCAATTGTGCTTCAGTGAGGTTTGCGTTCGGACCACCTCGATAACTGTTCCTCAACTCTGTGAGATACCTTCTCCATCTTCTCTCCCAGACTAAATTTTGCGTGTCTGTCAGGATCATTGACACAAGGCTTCGGATATCATATGGTGTAAGGTCATAGCTGTTGAATGCCTCCCTCAGGAGTTGTTTGAAATATGGTGAGCCCAGTCCATTGTTTCGAACTGCCTTTGCTAGGTCTTTGATCACATCATGATTCAATCTCTCCCACCTTGGATTTTGACCCTGTGCATCATATATCACTGGCATTGTCAGTTCTCCTGATCCTGGTAGCAAGTCCTTCTCCTTGGACAGCATTTTTCTGATGTGCTTCCAATTTGTTGTCTCTATCGGTTGTTGTTCTTCTTCTTCCTCTGGAGGCAATTGCATGTACAATGGAATCTTCGAAGTTATTAATGATTCTCTGGCATACATTCTTCGACCTGAAGTCTTTGACCTCGCTCCTAACTTTGAATCTGGAATTTGAAATTCTTGTGATTGCATCTTTTTCATTATATCATATGATGGAGTATATCCCATTTTTGCTTCTGCTGCTGAAAACATCCATGCTGGGATCCCTTCTGATGCTGTAATCTTTATCATGTCTCCTTCTTCTTCTTCTTCTTCTTGTTCTTCTTCTTCTGGTTGTCTTTCCTGTGACGATTCTTCAAATCCCCACGTCGGTGGGTAATTCATCTGTCTTGTTTTTGCTGTCTCTTTTGATGTGGTCTTCTTTTTATGTGTTGTTGGAAAAAACTGCTGCATTGTTGCAGTATCGCCATGAGACGATGCTGTGGCTTTGCCGACCTGGTCTGCCATGTCCTGCATTTCAGTCCTCCTCCCACGAGGTGGCGCTGTCACCAGCTTGGACCGCCATGATGACGTCACGAACTCGATCGGCTCCTCAGCCTTGCCGACCGAGTGCAGCAGTTTTGAAGGTTGGGATCGCGATTGCACGAGTTTTGACTGAACTAGCAATGGAGGTTGACTACATGAACCCCCCCCTGAGGCTGGAGAGGTTTGAACCACCGGGATTGATGGAACCGGATCCGGAGAAGGGGTGGAGTCTCGGGATATGGAACTCTGAGAACGACCCCTCCCTGCTTGGGATGTCACAGAGGATTGGGCGCGCCCCCGACCACGTCTCGTTCGTGACTTCCGTGCATGCGTACTTTCAGGAATGCTTCCCGTCTCCCCTGAACTGACATCACTGCCTCTGTCCCGCTCCACGTCTGATGTCTCCCCCTTGGTGTCTGTTCCTGACCCTCTCTCCTCCTCCTCTGATGCTGTATCCACGCCCTCCGCCCGTGTGTGCAGCCCTCGCCCCGCCTGTGCCTTCCCTCGCCCCGCAATTTGAGCGGATCGCCGTGGCTCGACTTCCGTGTCCTGCGTCACCATCGCGCGTCTCCTGCGCCTGCCTACGGGTGCCGCCTGGAGCTGCTCCTAGCTTACTGCCTGTGTTTGATGTGGACGCTTTGCTTTGTGCACCTTTCCCGGACGTCCCGCGCGTCTCGCCCCTCGCACGCGTCTTTGGCACGGCGCCAGCCGAGGCCGCTGCCGCCGCCGGTGCTGCGCTCGCAAAACCAGTGTGCCTTTTCGCGTTCCCCACTGCTCCCATGCCCTCCCCGCTGTCCCCGGCTGCTGTCGTGCTGCCGCGCTCGCCGTGAGAGAGTTTTTCCCCATCTCCTTCCAATCCCCCTTCGACCCCCCCCTCCGATTCTGCTGCTTTTCCCGTCCCATCCCCCTCAGGTTCCCGTGGGTTGAGAGAGACCACCTCCTCTGAGTGTCCCGTCCCATCACTCTCGCTGGGAGAAAACCTTACTTCATCTGGGAGTGGGATTGCATTTGCGTCTGAATCAGAATCCGAACCCCCTTCCGTTTCTGGGGTGTCAGGGCGTTTCGGAGGTCTCTTGGACTTTCGGGATGATGAGGTTGGAAGCAGTGACATTTCTGCCTGCCCCCCTTCCTCAGGAGCTGTCTCCCTTGGGCTGACTGGGATCAGAGCCAAGCTCTGCTTTGAGCCTCGTCCTCCCCCCTCTGCCCTTGTGGGAGTTGTGTCAGGTAATTGTCTGGCTGATCTCTGAGCCTCATTCGAGATAGCTTCTAATATGACTCTTGCTGGAGACAGCAACTTTAAAGCTGTCTCATCCTTTCTTGTTGCTAAAAGATATATGTGTCTATTAACTTCTTGCCAGAAACCCCGTTCAAATAACAAGCATGTTTCTGAAAACGGATAATTGAATCTCACCCATAATAGTAATTCTTTGAGCTCCCTCTTGGAAACTCCCTCTGCGTATGCCTGTGCCATGCCTTGTAAGGCTGACATAATTTCTAACTGTTCTCGTGAGTATGTGTTCCCCATGTTCTTAATTTTGACCTTCTCACCGAGTTTCTTGTCGTCAGAGCAGTCTGAAGGCTCCCGGTCTCCGTCCAGCAAATTGCAGGAGATGGATTCAGAGGGCCCTTCTGATTCTGCTCCGGGCTGTTCTGGTACGAGTTTTCTTCGGCAGAAGTGAAGGGCAATGCTCTCCTCGGCTGCTGCTTCTTCCGATCTTTCTGGCTGCTTTCCCAAGGAGTTATCAGCGGTCTCCTGGGAACTGGTCCAGCTCCGGGAACTGCCCACTCGGGTGTTCTTTTGCAGCTCACCGCTTCTCGCTCGCTTCTTCGGAGCTCACCTTCGGTGGGCGCTTCGGAGCCCACCTCGGGGCCACCTCGGTGCCCAGGGCCACCTCGTCGCCCACCCACGGACGCCAGGTGTCGGGGTCCGCTGTTATTTGTCTCTGCCCCGACACAGGAAAAGTGGTTCTGGGTGGCCGCGACCTCGAAGGATGAGTCTGAACTCTCAGGTTTTCAATCTTCAATCTTGTTTATTAATTCTTATCTACAAAGCTTTTCTTTCTGCCCAGCCGAGGTCCGCTCAGCAGGACAGTCAAGTGCACTCTGCCCCGCCCACGGGACAGTTGTGTCTTTTATAGTGAAAATTACGTATATCATATTTACCTTTAATTCCCAATACTTTTCACCCTTATAGACAAGTGTACCTTCACCATGAACCAATCCAAAAGTGCCAACATCATCACACAAAATGGAAGACATGGAGAAGAAAGAAGAACACAGGACCACGCCCTGAATCCTCCATCTTGTCTTCATGACCCCCCTGTACCTATTTTTCTAAAATCTGTATTTCATCCTGTAAATATACTATTCACACCCAAGAAGCTCTCATTTCCTCACACACAGATTTTTCCTCTTTAGATGGATCAAAGTCAAGCCACCAGACACTTTTGGCAACATTCCAAGGTCTCCGAGCCCCCCCAAGGGTTCTCTCGGTGACTCTGGACATTCAGAGTGATGTGTTGAGTTCCCACAGTTATGTGTGTAAATATAATGTTTATTTCAAAGACTGAATGCTTTGGTTGTGTTGGTGTTGAGATTAGGAGCTGTGTGCATGAGATGTATCTCAAGGCCTGACTTTGGGGGAACTGGGGATACATGCAAACATTGGAACTGTTTAAAAAATCTTTTTCACAACTGCTGCTGTTTCTCATGCCATGTGCCCAGTGTTCTGCTTTAATGATTTCTAGTGTCAGGATTTCACTAAAAAGTTGCATTCCAAAAGTACCCTTTTTCTTTTTTTTTTAAGGTAGTAGAAAGAAAAAAGGCCAAGGAAGGGGAGAAGGTCATACAGAGTCATTAAAATCAGAAGTACATGTACAGCCGAAAAAAATATTAGCTTCTGAAGAAACTACAGAGGATTTTGAAGGTGGAGAGCAAGATCAAGGGAAAAGGAGTTGCCTTTCTATCCCTGTTCCTTCATCTCAGGTAACTTTTTTGGCTCAGGGCAGAACCATGATATTGCAAAAAACGAGTATGTAGTTGGCAATGTCATGTTGAAGGTTGGGTCTACAACATAACTTTTTGTTCTATGAGTTCTGATCATGATTTGTTGTTTTGAAGTGCCAGTCCATTGGATAGCTCTGTAGCAAGGATCATGGAAGCCTCAGAGATTTGGTTTTCTGCATTTCCTTCAAAGGATCTGGGACTTGGGCCCCAAATGTCCCATGGAAGTACCAGACTGAGAGCTTTGCAGCAAGAGGCAGGAGCACGTGGGCCAGAGCACTGCTCCTAGGAGTGGCTGGTGGCTTTTTTCTGAGAATCTTTTTGGGTGGGTGGTGGTGTGAAACTGATGCAGTGTAACACTGGGCTTTGCCCAAGCTATTGCCATTCTAGTAGGTGAGGGTTTATGGTCAGATGAGGGTGGTGTGTGGCTCAGCAACTGCTGTGTTTCAAAGGAAGGTAGCATGGAGTGTGCTTATACCACCATCTCAAAATTTGAGTCAAAAAAAGGAAAGGGGAAAAAAAAGTAACCTGAAACCCAAAATGATATTTGGCAATGAGTGAACAGACCCTTTTGTCCAGCTGGTCATCTCTCTGTGACCTCACAGTACAGCTGCATTTATAGGCAGTTTAATCCTTACTGACAACATCCTGCAAGTGGTGAAAAGAGAAGGATCATTGCTAAAGTCAAACAAAGCATATTCTGGTGAGAGCAAACTGAGGGTTTCACTGACTTGTTTCCTTTAAGTGAACCACTTGGGAAGGTGTTTTTAATGACTGGCATTAAATTTGCCTGTGTGTGTTACAGGATCTGATAAAATACTTAAAATGCTTCTGACACTGAAAATTATTGAGGTTTTGGTTTTAAGGTTAATTGAAACAAACTGTGCATGGAGACCAAGTAGTAGTAGTTGTTTTGGTATAACAGTGGTCCACTGGGTCCATTAATAACAGCTGCTGATCTATTTTCTCTTTGCCAGGTTATAAAATGAGTGACTATATAATTAATTACTCAATTTTGCAATTCGTAAGTAGGAAACCTTACTTATTTTCACCTAATAATTTCACAAATCATTTTAATTTCAAGTACAATTTAAGAAATTGCTTTCAGGACGTTGCAGAGAAACTGTTGTATTAGGAGAAGCAAGAGTAGTAACCATAGAGAGCTCTGAAAGACTGTAATTTGGATATCAGAGCCTAAATCAGGGTTCTGCTGTCTTGTTTAAGGCGATTGAGAAAATCTTCTGTAGGGAAGAAAGCAAAAATATTTGAATTGTTGTGGTTGGCAGCAGCCACCAGAGGCTGTCCCAGTGCTGCTGGTGGTTTTTGGTTTCCCTGGATCACAGCCTGGTGTGTAACCAGGGAATCAGTGTGAGCCTTCTAGCTCCTTATGTACAATACAGGCAGTGAGTGGAAATACGTGGCAGGGAACTCAGAAGTGGTAGTGGCAAATAACAGCAATTTATGCTTTCTTTTGCAAAGGAAGCCTTATTTCTTAAATTGCAGTTGATTGCTGAGCTGTATTTTGGGAGTTGTCTTTGTCTCCTAGTTGAGTCACTAAATATGCTTCTGTCAGGATCATCTGATGTTAATGCTGACTTTGCCCTTTCTTAATCAAGTTGCTGCTCAAATGTAATTGGTTTTGGATAACACTTTATGAGACTTGCTTGGAAAGGAACAAAATCAAATAGGAAATCACTGGTTGATTTTCAAGCTCTGCAAAACACACCTGTGTAAACTAAGTATAAATTTACTGGAGGAGAAAGATAGATAATAATCTTTAGAAAGCACACACATTTGAATAGTTCTATGATGTACAAAGTAGTTCAGCCTTGAATGTAATATGCTTCCAGGTAACGTCTCAATTGTCAGGACAGTGTTTTTTCCTCAGCTGTGTATCTCAAATTCTTTTTCTAAAGAAGACATTTCTTATTTTAAATGTACATTTTTTTTTCCAAAATTTAAAATGCAGTTTGTGTCAAAGCTGAAATATTTGCTTAATGGTGTCTGTGACAGACTGTTGTGATTTAGAGTCATGAGCTGAAGCATTTAAGATGTATCAGTGTGGGATTAACCTCAGGGTATGTGTCCTGAGTTCCCATATATCTTCTATATAGATAAATACATATATACTCCTTGTATCTTGGTGCTTAAATTATTAAGAAACTCATGAAACTCATGAAATGATTCCTTAATCATTTAAATTGATTCATGGGTAGGAGTCTACATTCCTCTACAGTCTACTACATCTTCACCTGTATAATCCCCATTAATTTTTTAGGAGCAGTACTTTAAATTGTGAGTTAATTTAAACTGTTCACGACCTGAGGTGGTGAGAGAACAGGTCATGTGAGGGAAATGAAGCTGAGGGAGGAAGCTGTTAGATAAGATTTTCTTTTAACATGTGTTTTTCTTTTAAGATAAGTTTTTCACTGTGTGTTTTCTGAACTTGAAGTTTTCATTCAGCAGCTGTGTTTAGCACGAACTTGAGTTTAGGAAGTGGAGTAGAAGATTTTTAAAGTCTAAATCAGATGAACTTTCAAGGTCCTTTCTAACTCAGGCTGTTCTGTGACTGATTTTGAAAGCAGGGATGATGAGGCACAGTTTTACTTCAAAGCTTTTAATTCTGAGGAGTGTAAATTTTCAGTTTCTCCAAAATGTAACCTTGTTCCACAGAATACATCTGGATTTCCTCTTGAGACTACCATGAGAGATATGGAAGGAAGTGGCGAGATTGGAACAAAGAACCCTGGAAATTCTCTGGAAAAAAATGATAGGCTGCTGCATGGCAAGTGGTCTAAAAGAGTAGGTCAGATTTCCAGTAAAGACAACAGAATTGAGGAAAGAGAAAACAAAGAGTACGTTGCTGGTTCTACAAGCCGACAAGCTCACTGGGACAGGACTTCACAATATCTTGGTGCCCAGGAAGGGATTCTTGAGCCTGATGCAAATCTGGACTACAACACTGAGATTTCTGATTCAGCCAGAAGTGCAGATGCTTCAGAAAGCTCCAAACAGGTACAGCATAAGAGGATACCTTGCAAGTATGGAAGTGGCTGTTACAGGTAAACAAAATTAATACTAGCTTGGTCTAGCTTGTTATTCAGAAATAATGTATTAGCTATGGAAGAGAAAACTGTAAAGTTGTTATAAGCTTTGATATGGAAAAAAATCTTTTGTTGAACAGGGGTCTGATGAGAAACAAATAGCAGAACGTTAATTTTAGAAGGGTAAAAGGAGGAGTCAGGATGTCTTGCTGACTCTGAATACAGCCCAAACAAGGGATGAAGTACTTGAGCAAACTAAAAGATGAAGTGTTGCAGGAAATAAAAGATAAAGGTCTAGTATAAAAGGAAAAGAAATAAAAGACCTGTGTGTATGGTATGAGGTACTAGCAGGGAGAAGAGATGTAAAAGGTTCAAATGGCCAACACAGACCCTGTAGGTTTGTTTTTTTAGCAGATGAGACTTATATGAAAGATTATTGTGTTTATTGAAGTTACTGCCTGCTTTGTGATCTGAATGTTTAAAATACTTATTATTTGTCATCCATACATAATCAAGAATTTCTCTTACTATAACTTGGTGTTTCTGCAGTTTTTTTAAAGCTTTCAGTCACCTCTAAAACCAGAACAAAGCAGACTTAGAACTCGAGGTTAACTCTTATCTGGACAGTCTTTGGAAATACTGCAAGTGAGGAATAACAGGGGTTTTTCCTCTTCTTTTCACTCATATTCTTTCAAGATGGAGGTGGTAGAAGATTTGTCATACAAATGTTCCAGAGAAGTTCCAAAATACCAGTGCTGGGTGCCTGGCCTCCTGCTAATTCTTTCTGCCCAGAAAAGATCTGTGGTGTCCTGTGGTGTTATATTGGAAGGAAGGCTGAAATCTAGAGGTGCTCATAAGTCTAGAAAATGCCCAGTGACCTGTGATCTACAATTAGGAGACGGTTTTGAGCTCTAGATAATCCTATGTACTTCGTAAATGCAAAAGACAAGGCTAATCCAGGAAACAGCGCCATCCTATGACTTTTTTTATCTTCCCCCAAGGGGCTTCAGAAATAATAAAAGCAGTGAGTTCGATTAGGAACCAAACAAGCACAAGTGACTGGCTTCCTGTAGGTTTGGTAGGCCTGATGCTGAGATAACTGAATATCAAAATTGTAAAGCTGTTGTGTTCATGAGCATGAACATGGTTTTCATGTAACTTTGACATACCTAATTTTTTCCCCTTAATGATTATGACAAAAGCATGTCTTATTAGACAGTTCTGTTGATCCAGTATTGCAAATGCAGCCTCTGGTTTGCTCCAGCTGCTTTGAATTTTGCTGAGACAGGTTTTGCCCTGTGTGGGTATTAAGGAGATTTAATGCTCTGCTATGAAGAAATACTCCTTATCTTTAGTAAGGCAAATCTTACGTACTGGTAGTAGGGAGTAGGAGTCTGTATGTGCACATTTCTTCCTGGGTCTCTTTATTGTGAAACATTTGGCAGCAATACTTTTGGAAAGTATTGCTTTATAAAAAGAAAAGAATGTTCTGAAATAAATAGCAGTCTTACTTTGTCAGAGAAGTTTGTAAATAGGGAGAATCAAAAATGTCAGCTTTGATCTTCAGGAAATATTATGAAACTCAATTTGTTTGCTTGCAGCAAAAGCAATATGCTTTGTAGTCTGTCTTTGTATTTGCTTTTAGTTCAAGGCCCCTAAGTAATGATTTCTGTGTGGTGGCAAAAGTGTGTTAGAGCAAGGATTAAATGTTAGTTCTAGTTATTTGAGTACATTTCTGTTAGCCTGTAGCAAACATTTAGCAAGTAAATTTGTAACCCATAATTTAGTTTCTTCATTTATGAATTTGAAAACACTGCTTTTGAAAGAGTTAAACTTGATGCACACCTCTTGCCCCAAGGAGTCTGCTTGTCACCTTTGTTCAGTGTCATTTTCTGAGGTGGCCAAATTCAAAGGAGCTGCTGTTATCATTAGCAGACAAAGTGCTCTGTGTATGTTGTAGCTGCCTTTATTTGTTGTCGAGGAACTCGCCCTCTGAATGCTGTCATGTGTTTTTGTCTGCTGCTTGCTTTTCTGAAGTTAGCAGAATAGGGAATTATAAATCTACCACCACCACCCTTTTTAAGGGCCATCATAGAAGAGGTATAGTAGACCTGAACTCTTGTCTCTGAAACTGGAACTCACAATCTTTCTTCCACAATTCAGTCTTTTTGCCATAGCCTGGCGTGCAGTTCTCTGCTGACTGGGGGTGTGTAAATCTCTCCCAGAACTGTCAGAGCAGGGGATGCTCAACCAATGTTTGGATTTGTTTGTGGGTTCTTCTAAACACTTTGCTGTTTGTTTGTTTATGAAAATAAGTATTTTTCCTTTCACTCAAAGCTTGTAAATCTGGCAGCTAAACACCTGCATCTGTCTTTTTTTTTTTTTTTTTTTTTGAGTCCTGTGTCCTATATTTTAATTAAGAATTAAAATACAGAATTTACAAGCTTGTTATGTGCAGTCATGGCATAACTTCAGGCTTGAATTGTATGGCTTTATAAGCAGTGCTGGTAATTCATTACATTTTCACTAGGAGGTTCTTTCAGTAGCTGAAGAAATAAGACCATGAGATGGCAAGGGGTCTTCTGCATGGGATTGTGAGGAGTCAGGGATTCTGAACTGGTTAGTTAAATTTGCTTTATAAAAAGTTTTTAAAGTTGCTTTTGATAGCTACACAGATGAATAACTGTCTTAAATATTTTACTGAGCAATACTGAAGTTCTGCTTGAGGATGTTTGCATTGATTCTGAAGAAGTTTTAAAGTTTTATTTGCATAGTTTTAGTTCACACACTTTCCTGCATCATGAAGTGTTGAGTACACAAATTTAGAGTTTCTGTGAAAGCAAAGCTGCAGTAATTGTGTCCGTATGTTTAAATGAAGGCAACAGTAATAAAACTTTCTTGTTAAAATAGCCCTTTTTTTAAATGATTACTTTTCATGCAAGTAAAGCCTAATGATTTTATTTTGATCAAATGAATTAACACATTCCTGTGCACTGAGGCTTTGTTGTGAAAAAATTAACTTTGGAGTGCAGCTTACAGTGTGATAGATGTGCTTCTGTAACTCAAATATCTTCATGTCTACAAATATAAAAAAACCCCAAACAAAACCTTTAAGGAAGAAGCCTTAGGATTTTTCTGAAAAAAGGGAAGATGTTTGCTTATTAGCTATGCACTTCTCTGCTTCCTTTTAGTTTGTGGGGTATTGTTGCCCTACACATAGAATAAGTATAAATTAGCCAGGTAAAGCTAAGATAAAATAGGATGTTTCTACTGAGCATCTGAGGCAGGACATGTTCAAGAGATAGGACATGTTTGAGGTGCTCCACAGGTAATGTATAATTTGAGGAGCATCATCTAATGGCCCAAGACTCCTGAAGCCTAGTGACAAGGACTTGTACATCACAACTCTTCTGTTGCTCTTCCTTCTTGCTCTCCTACTTCTTTTTCTTCCCCACTGCCCCCTCCCTTCAATAATGGATGTTTAGTGTTGTCCAAGTAGGTCTTGAAGCAACGTTTTAAAAGGAAATGGATATCTCCTAAAGTACAATAAATCTGTTAACTGACAGCTATTAGTCCTTCTTTCCATGGCAACTATGATGCTATATGTATCTTGATGTAGGAATAAGGATTAAAATTAATTCAAAGAACATCAGTTGCTGCTGTATCCCTTTCAGAAGATAAATTGTATTTCATGTGACTGAGAATTCTTGCTATTACTGCAAGTATGTTAGTTCTGTGTATTAAGAAAACAAAGTGACAAATGGCCTCTAAATGATTTGGTTTCATCCCGTTTATTTGTAATGGGGAAAGAAGTAGGCAGCCAGTCTGAATTTGTCACAAGAAGTGATGTTTCATGAGAATTTGTTATGGAATAAAAGACTACAACCTTGCAATAGTTTCTAGTGAAACATTATTCAATTATCCTATAGTTTATAGAAGCAACAAAAGACCAGGACAAGAGGCCTGTCATCTATGTAAGTAGATCCAAGTTACACTGAGCCTTTGATAAGTGGCTTATGGAAGAGTTTATCTGTAGCTTGCTTGTGGAGTTTCCTCAGTGAAAGAGATCTGGCAAATGGAGATTTAAAGAATTAATACTAAATCGCTGGTATTTCTCCAATGCTAAAAGGAGGTCTGAATGGCCAGCAGAGTTCACAGTGTTTAAGTCATCCTTTTGTAAAAGCTGTAACAAATGCTCTTTTGTTATAGTAGCAGTTGAAATGCTAAAACGAATATTGACTCTCCTCTATGAAGTTCATTAGGGGTACTTGTGAGTTTAGAGGAGTTTCTCTGATCAGTGAGGAAGTTGCTGTGTATGGAGGTGGCTGCACATGTCCTTGACGTGTTCCATACCTGCTTCTAAATGAAAGTTGTTATTCCTCCTGCTTGAGGCAGGCAGCTCACTTTTATAATTTGCACAAACACACTAGAGGTTATGTGCTCTGGGAATGATTGAGGTAATCAATGAAGTATTTTGCAGATGTCTTTTGGAAAATAATTTGTTTAAAAATGTCACATTTCTTGCTTCTCAGTATTACACTTGGAAAAAAGCCTACAAGAAATTATAGGGGAAAAGTAGATTTGCTTTTGCTACTAGTGTGTTGATTTTGATGTAATTTTTTTAGCCTGTTTTGATCTGTCACATGAGTTTCTCCTGAAGTGGGAACTTGATTTTCTGTGTTCTTTTTAAGTCCACTTACAACAGTTCTAGAAAGAAGACAACTCTTCTTTAAGTGATGTTTATGACTGCGTAGTCTTGAGTGGTGTGTGTACAACGCTCTTGCCTAGAAGTGGTAGAAATGTTCTTTCAGTGATGCATAAATTTGTGTTCCTTACATGTTCACTTCAGATTCAAGTGTTGTAGAGCAAGAGGTTGTGGATGATGGTCTTAGGCTGTCCTCACTAACACTGGTGTGACTCAGCTACACATTAAGTTGTTAATGTCTTATGGTACAACTTCATGTCAGCATGCTAATTTGTAATTCAAATAAAGCCTTTTGTGCACGTGTTGGAGGTCTGAAACTTAATGGGAAATAGGAAAATTCCTGGTTTAACCTCTGTTACAGCAGGTGCTAAGACAAAATTTCTTCTTCTGTTGTCCTGAAAGTAGGGCATACATTCTGCATCAAGTTAAACATTAAAAGCTGCTCTTCATGTAATCACGGAAAAATGAGCTGTCAGTGATTCAGTAACATGTTTTATATGTCCCCTCTTGTGTTGAAATGGGTCAGTTTCAGTGTGTATTTGTCTTTTGCAGGAAGAATCCCATTCACTTCCAGCAGTTCAGTCATCCTAATGATGATGACTATCACAACACGGAGATGGTGGCTCAGGATGACGATGACAGCCGGCCCGAGTGTCCATATGGAACAGCTTGTTATAGGTGAGAAACACGTGCCAAGTGGCTCTTCTTGTTGACAGGTTAAGAATGTTCTCCCCTGCAGCTGCAGAAGGACAGTAAAATAATGACTAATCCTTGATGTTTACTTTGGCTGTAGCCTTCCAAAATTTACTGAAGTCAGACTGCTACCATTAAAGCACCCAAGTCTGTATGTATTTTTAACATTGGCACAGTAAAAATCACTATTTTGGTAATTATGTCAGCTGTCAGAGATGAAAACTTGATTGTTCAAAGAGCCTATTCAATGACCTGGAGATCAACACTATCTCTTTTCAACATTCAGTAAATTGTTCTTTTATATAAGCAGTTTATTGGTACGTGTTGTTCTTGATCTGTAACTTTTAGTTTAAATTTTCGTAATGTATTTGTTGTGATTTTGTAAAAAAACTATTTTAGTCAGTACTTGACTTAAAGCATAATTGAGGTAACAGCAATAAAATACAGTTTGTGGCTGACTGCTGTTTCTTTTAAGCACTGTTGATTTTCTTCAAAATATTGTTGTATTCCATTGTTTTTCAGTATCTAGTTTTTACATATTTAGCAGACTGCATAATTATCACAATGGACAAGAAAGTATATTTTGAGGTAATAGCATTTCTATGGGAGCATATTGAAACTGGTGGCTTCTGTTAAAGATTGTTTCTGCACAGAAACATTTTGTCCTGGAAAGTGTGGTTGTCCTAAAAAGCATGGTCTCCATGAAATGCCAACAAAATGAGACAGCTCTTAGCAAAAAGCCTTGGTGATACTCAACTAATGCAGAAAAAGTGGTTCTCTTAAAAACACCTATGAGATGAATTTTCCATCTCAGGCTGAGCATTACAGACTTATATCAGTATTGAAATTGCCGACATGCTTCTCAGGAGTACAATGGATCTAAACCCCAAACTGGCTCTCCTTCCAGATGAGACAACCTCTGTGTTGCATTAGTTGGTAATTTCTTAATCTGTGTTTCATTCTTTGGAGATAGAGGAGAGGAGGTACCCATGAAAAATTAATAATTCTTTTGATGAAGCAACAGATATAATTAGAAGGGATTTTGTGTTAATTTTGTTGTCCTTATCTGTTGGCTATTAACTGACTGATCTAAATGCTGTGCCTTGAAAATTATCCATAAAATACCAGGGAATTCTGCACTTTTTAAATGTGGAACAAGGTGATGGAATCAAGCTTTTACTGTTTTCTTCTTTGCAGGAAGAACCCCCAGCACAAGCTAGAATACAAGCACAGTGCACCTCCAGGTGGGCCAATTTGTTCAATATTATAGAATCACAGAAAGTTCTGAATTTGAAGGGACCCGCAAGGACCATCCAGTCCATGTCAGTAAAATGCTTTAATCTCCCTTTAGGGAATAAAGTTGCATTTATAGCTCCCTCTGTATTAGGATTATTTTTTTCTGGGTTTTTTTTTTTTATTCAGAAATTCTCAGGTACGATAAAATTTTAAAGTATTCTGATGCTCTAAACAAAAGACTGCAACCATATCTGTCGTCTTTTTGTGTTGGGGTTTTTTACCAGTGATTTTCTTACTGTGAGAACTAATTCTTGCATGTATGTTCTCTTGAGGCCTGGAGGGAATATAAGTAAAACTGAATTTGAGTTCCTAATCTAACACTTTATAGTCTTTTTATATTCTAGTAACTTGATTTGGTGAAAAAACATAGGGGAATGTGCTGTTTACATTTTGTCTGCTCTTAAAGATACTTCTTGGTTTTATTTTTTGGAGTGCTTTCTCTTGATTATTGGATTGGAGTTTTTCCACCTGAAATCCCAATGTGATAAACAGTAGTTTAGAGCAGAACACTTAGGAATATGTCAGGATAATGCATTTTACTTTGAAGATTCAGGGCTATGACATTATTAAGAATAAATAGCATTTATGGAAACAGTGGTGTAAAATATTTAAATGCCCTAATACATTCCAATTTCCTGCTTTAAAACCCGCAGTCAGAATTGATGACATTTGTCTACAGATGGCAGGGGTAATAATTTTAAGAACAGTTTATCTGGGTAATCTCTTGGGAATGATTCAAGACAAAAACGGTATTTTTGGGGCATCAGAGTAGCTTTTACACCTGTAAGTAGAGCACAACCATTTCAGCATTTGTTTAATTGGTCAGTTTCCTGTTGTAGCAGTTTTAAGAATAACCCTTATGGCAGGGTTCCTTCTGTCCTGACTGACAACTTCCCTTTCTTTAGTAGCTGGAAGAAGAACACGGCAACGAGCTTCAAGCAATGGTGAGTGTATTCTGTAGTTGTGAGTGGGCACATCAGTCCACTGGGACACAGTTGGTCTGCTCTGGCTCTTTCAGCATTTAATAGTGCTGGAGATGCTTGATAATACTTAGCTGAGGAGAAAGTAGTCATTATTTTAGTAAAATCTTTCTTGTTTTCTTACAAGTAATAGTCCTTCAGTTGCATTTGTGCCAGTCTTCCTGGATAATCACACCTGTATTTTCCTAGAAGCAGACAAGAAAACAAACATATTTTAAGGAGAGACACATATGGCTAAATGGTGTCTTCCATCTTCACTCCTTACACAGCAGCCATAATAGGATGAAAGGAATCCAGTATTTCATGCACAGCTAGTTAAGGTTGCCTTGTAAGGAGTGATTGCTCCTGCAGCATGGAGATACTCACTCTGACCTTTAAATAACTCCTGGGTGATAATCTGTGTGCATGTGCTGATGAACTTGCTTACTCTTACAGTGAGGTATTGATGTTTCAGGGCTTGTTAGGATCAAAGTATAGAAGTTTGGGAGTACATAGACTCAAGTTTTAAACATGCTGTCTTGGTTGAAAAGACAGATTTCTTCTAAGGAAGGCAGGAGCCTCCCTTGAAATGGAAAATATAAATCCTCTCTCTCTGAAATACTATAATTTTGAAATTAAAAGGCTCTCAGGCAAAGACATGGGGATAGAAATAACAGTTGTTAACTAGGAAAACTAAAAATACAAATGTAATAGTACAAACAAAGAAAAAACCACTGACAGAGTCAGAACACACCTGGCACCCTGTTGGTCAGGGTATTGGTAGCAGTCCAGTTGGATGGTGGCTGCAGTCCTCCTGCAGTGACAGCTGTGGTTCTGTTGGAGCAGTGATCCTGTAGAAGGGTGTAGTTTTCCTCTGAAGGTCCAGTGATGGTGTAGATGGGCTTGGTCTTCCTCTGGGAATCCAGTGGAGAAGAAAGCTGCTCCTCTGGGAATCCAGATGGAAAAGACTGCCTGTGGTGTTCCAAATCCCTGATTATATCCAGGTAGGAATGCTTGGTTCCTCCCCCTGGGTGGAGCTTCTTGAAATGGGATGATGTCATTTTATCAGTCATGCAGTGAGACTCAGTGACCCATTAACAGAAGATATTTCCCAGAGAGAGGATTGGTTGTGAAACAGATAAAGAAAACTCCCCAATTAACAGAAGATAACTGCCCCACCTCTAACAGATAGGAATAGAATACCCACATATCTTACAACCCAGGATACATGCTTAGGTCTGCTTCCAGGATTCTTTTGTGTCTTGTCTTCCAAATGTGAAGCTTCCTATGCTTTCTAAAATTAAAAGTGAGCTTTAAAGAGCAGTCTGAAAGTCTGATGCTGTGCAGTCTTTGCTTTCAGTGACCAGAGTAAGGCAGGAGGATGTAGAACTGTTGCATTTTGAGTGGGAGTGGGAACTGGCTTGCCTTCTTCGAGATCACCAAGGAGTGGCTAGGAATTTCCTAAAGAAATCTTAAAAATAGATCTGCTTTCTACAGAAAGTAAATAAAAGTGCAAACAGTTGTAGTTAGCTTTCTAGGCAAAGTGTTTTGGCCTCTCTTTCTCTTCTGGGTGAATGCAGGAGATTGTTTTAAACTTTCCACTGAGAAATTTCTTTGTCATACTGTTTTCTTATCAAGTTTGTGTGCACTTTGGCTATCACCAAATATTTGTTGTGCACCAGCATATTCTGAGGCATGTTTGTTACCTGTGAGCTTTAGCGCATCCTGTGATACAAGTACCATCCCCATCGTGATCAGAGGTCTGTGGTAGAAATTTGTGTTGCAGAGTGTTGAGGCATGTACTGAGTGGTGAAGATTTCAGAATGAAGCAGGCTGGGCTGTGTGCATATCTAAAGTCCAGATCTGTTCTTGAAGGTTTTAAATTGCAGCTGTGCCTCTCATAAGAGCATGTTCCTTACCCAAATAGTAGGGTGCACCCTGCCCCCCTGTGTGTGCAGCTGATGGTCAGGCACGGGTGACTCTGAAGGAAGAAGGGCTGCTCTTCTAGCATGTAAAACTTGCACACAGAAGTGAAATTCAGTCTGTCAAATTCAACTTTTCTTACTAAGAATGAACTGTGGAAGAATTGATGTTCTGCACACACAGGAAAGAAGGGAATTAATTTATTAAGTTCTGTTTATATTTACTGTTTTTTAAAAAATGTAATGTTTTGTTGACTGGTTTACTTAGCTCTGTGGAGGGCAAAGCTTATAAAAGGTGGTGCTCAGCAAGTTCACACCAGAGGCCATCATACCACATCCTGCAGGGTCAGACAGACAGTAAGAACTCCATTAACCTTTATTTTGTCATATTTGGCACAACTGCACCGTTAGACACAGCATGATTAAATTCCCTACAAATGTATTTAAATTCCACCAGACAAGAGAAGAGGGGAGCCCCCACATGACAGTTAACATGTTTAGCTTTTAAGTCTAATTGCTGCCAGAATTGCCTGTAGAGAATGTTCTGAAAAATAATCTGAAGAAAATTACTGGGGAATAATTGTAGGGAAGGAATTGAAAAAAAAAGTCAGAGTTCTGCTGTTGTTAACTTGTCACTACTGAATGACTTCTCTAGGTTGTTGCTGCTGAGATGAATAACATCCTGTAGCCATGGAATATGCAGGATTCTCCTACATACTTTTGTGTAGGTTTTCTAGCAAGTTGATAAGCTCACTTCAAAATAGAATGTTTTGGAAGGAGCAGTCAGCAAGCTTTTTTTTCCCCACATCAAGGAGATACTTCCATAGAAGGTTTCAAGGTCATCTTTATAGGTAGGCTAATAGAGAAAAGGCAGAATTGAGCTTAATCATCAGCTTTAGGGGCTGCAGGGCTGAATTAAACTACAGAGGAAAGAATTGGAGAAGAAAGGCATAAAAGGAAGTGTTTCACTCACTGCTAAAATCAAAGTGTTGATATATGGGGAGGGAGAACATAGTATGAACTTCTTACATTTGTAAGAAGAATATGAAAGGTATCAGTATTTTGCCAGCATTCCTACTTCTGTTGTAAAATGCCACTCACAGTGCTGTGAAACTGGCAAAGGGCTTTCCTTTGATAAGGAGCTCTTGGGCATATTCTCATAACCTTAGTCTGAGAAGGGGGATTTCTTTCTTACTTTATTCAGCATCTTCATTTTGACCCCCTCCCCTCCAAGATATACTTAATTCTGCAAGGACTATAGTCTGTGATTCTGCTAAGAAATTTCGCTGGTTATGGGCTAACACAGTGTCCTGGTTTGAGACAAATTGGGAGGAAACATCCTGAAATGAACTTGCCCTCCCAGTTATGGCACGATTAATTTCCTCTGAAGTCTGTTAAGCAACAAGCCAGCAAGCATAAAAAGGAAGGTAATTCTGGAACAGGAGCATTCCCACTACAGAAAAGTGTTACTGAAAGAGACTGTGAGGTACTGGTGGTGGTGTTTGTGTCTGGAGCTCTGACCTGAGTTTTCAGGAGTTTGCTGAGAGTTGTTTATGGGTAATTTAAAGAGTTAGGATTTGGGCTGTGGTCTGTAGCTAAAGAAAAAAACCCATATTCATAGTTTCATATGAAAGCTGGTGACAACTGCTCAACAGATAAGTTAGCTAGACCGATATCATTGCATGGCTATTTCTAGATAAGGTAAGAATGGAAAACTGGGAGGGTGGGAGGCAGAGAAATGAACATGATTGTACTCGGAGATGTGACTTAAGGATAGAATAAGACATAATTGGAATATTAACAGACCATGGCTAGTTAGGAATTTAACAGAAGAGGTGTCACAGATGCATTTCTGAAGGAAATGACTTTCAGAAGGGAACACAGACTATCCAGCATGAAGGCAAGTGGAGAACATAGGAGGTGGGTGATCTAGAAGATTTTCTTCTCTCATGTGAAGCTGTTAGCTTCCAAAGACTAAGAATATGAAGGAAGGAAGGAAGGATGGATGGATGGATGGATGGATGGATGGATGGATGGATGGATGGATTGAGGCAGAAAATCTAGGGTCAGAGTAGCCACCTAGCAATAGAGGCTTAACTGGAAGATAGATGTACTGTTTAGGTGATTCTTTCTTGTGAGGAGAGACATTTTACTATGTGGACTCTGGGAGAGATCTTGTACTCTACATGTTACGAATACATGACATTTTTGTCCCTACAGGAAAAAGGGCTGTGAAGAAGGATGGTGTCAATGATGGTGAAGCCAATGACTGCGACCTCAATGACCGCTTCACAGACGAGGAGGAGGAGGAGTGCGAACCTACTGATGAAGACTCAGACTGGGAACCAAGTTCAGAAGAAAAGGATAACGAAGATGTTGACACACTTGTGCAAGAAACACGTAGATTTGTTAGGATCAAAAAATAGCTGCTGAGAACAGCCTTATAGATGTCCAGTGTGGTTGTGTTAAAACATGGTTGCGCAAAGGAGAGGAATTGTTTGAAATTTTTTTTTCTCCATGATGTAGGCAGTACAGGAAGATAATAATTGGGTGAGAGGATTCTGCAATGCCTTTCTTATCCATGTGTATTATTTTGGGGCTGGTGTTGATTAAGCTCTGAAAATTTTCAGGTTTTTCTCTCTCCCTCTCCCTCTCTTTTTTTTTTTTTTTTTTTTTTTTGCAACACCACTGGTATCTTGTATTTTGAAATACAATTCTAAAGGTTGTTAAAACTTCATCTTCCTGTGCTTGAAAGAAATATTGGTAGGAAAGCCTAAGCCATTTTTATTGTTGAGTTAGTGCAGTTTTAAAACTTCATTATTCTGCTTCCATCTTTCCCAGAATCACTTGAGAACAGGATCTCAATGTATTGTACCACTTGATTGGCTCAACAAAAAGTGTTATTTGTTCTAATTACAACAGTACCTCTTTCTGTGTACATCACTAAACTGTTTCCAATTCTCAGCACAGTCTTGGTGGCTGTATTTTTGCACATTTAAACTTGTAACATACAGTGGGAAAAGCATGTAACTGATTTCTAAAGACGTTGTTGGAAGATCTTGCCTTCAGTTTGTTCACTCCTCTGAGCTTCCTGGAAAGTAAGTTAAAAGGTTTTACTGTATTTTGGGACAGATGACTGGAGCCCTGTGAATTTGGCACCTTTTTTGGTCAAAGTCCTGAAGTTCAGCAGGAGGAGCATTCTAGTATGGCTTCAAGTAGACATCCAAATGCACACCAGCTGGTTTTACGGACTTTGCAGGAGGACTTTGTGGATGTGCCCTCTACAGCTCCAATGCCCTGGTTTTTGACTGAGCTTGTGTGCTTGTCTTGTTTTGAAGCGGCTCCTCTTACAGGAAAAACTGCCAAGGGGGAATCAAACCAAGCATTGCCTGGGCCTTGCCACTGCTGTGTTGAGCTGTGTGCAGGCTCAGCTCTCAGCAGCCCTGAGATCTGCTCCCATCATGCTGGGGCCATCTCGGGCAGGGAAGTTGTGCTGTGAAGGAAGCTGCTGGCCTCAGGGGAAGCTGCCCTCATGGCCAGGAGGCAGGAGAGCACAGACCTGGCTTGAGCTGGCCTGTGTCACAGAGGAACTGTCTCAGTCCTGCCCAGGAGGCACCTCCACAAGCAGGTGCATGCAGCTGCCACAGGCTGGAGCGGTGCTCTCTGGAGGAAGAGGAGGAGGGGGAGCCAGCCTCCTGCTGAGGTGTTGGCAGAAGGACAAGCTGCTTTCCTCTGGGGCACAGGAGAGGTGTGCTCCAGGCTGTGGGATGCAAGATGGAGCTGTGCAGCCTCAGGTCCCAGCAGTTCAGAGGCTGGGCACTAGGGATGGACCTTGTGGACCTCAGCTGCTGCCCGTTTCTACCTCAAAAAACCTCATTACACACCCTTGGTGCTTCGAAACTTCCATTCTTGGAGGGTCATCTTGGTCCTTACAGATTCTGCTGAAAGGGGAAGCATTCTTTTTGACAGATTTCTCAGATAAAAATAAAGCGTCAATGTGGCAATATTATATCTGAGAACTGTTGGTAAGGAAAGGGTATGGACCCAGCTAGAGGGGGATAGAAAAGAGAGGAGAGAGGGAGAAAGAGAGATTGAGGGAGAAATAGAAGACAGGGACAGCATTACTGCTGGGACACAGGGGCATCCCACCATAAAGACATAAACTTCTGACATCGTGGATTAATTTTCCTGACACCTCTATTTTCTGCCTCCTTATCACATGGTCCATGTTAAGGCTCCCAAGCCCCTGTATTAATTTTTCACCCTGTGTATAACATATGTTGAGACATAAAGAAAAGTCAAGATTGGTTCCTTTCAGGTCCCCTTCCCTCTGCCAAAAGAGAGGGCATTCCCACAAGGTGAATTCACTCAGTAGGGTGAAGAGATTCCTGTCTGCCTCTTGAGTACAGTGCCATGTCAGGGCCTTGTGGTGGCATCTGGCATTGGGGAAAAGCTGCCATGGGATTTGTGCTGCTTGTGTGTCTCTTCTTTGTTGGGCACACAGGGAAGGTGAGGGGAGAGTGACCAGAGAAGCACAGATGCAGATCCTGAGTGAAACAGGAGCACTCCAGGGCATTTGAAGGGGCCACCTTGTATCTTGGCCACAGAGGGCCTAGTGTGAGTTGCAGGTTTCTTCAAAGGCTGAGAAGTGGGTTGTGTGTTACAGTGTGTACTGTACCATGTGATATTTACTGTATTTTATTGTTAGGAAAATTAATTGCCAATGCCAGAGGTTTATGTCCTAAAAGGATACAGAGGAGTCCTGCAACTTTATTCAGATAAAGGGAGAGGCCATGGAACATTTCCCGTGAGGTCTCTCAAACTGCTGGAGGATGCAACCTCCTCTTTATCCTCATTTCTTTGCTTCATTTTCCTCTCCCCCTTGGCTGAGGTATTTGAGAGGTACAGACTTCCTGAATACAGAACCCCTTCTAATGTGCACCCCCCTGCCCCCTTCCCCCATTTTTCTTTGTATTGCTGTTCTTTTTCTCCAAGTTCAGGAATTTAGAACGGTCTTGGATGAGCAACAGTCTGTGTCAATTAGTGGGATTCCTGTGGAATTTGCTTCTTTCACCTATTTATCTGCAAGCAGACCCACAGTTTGTTTGTAAAGACACATCCCTCTCATTTCTTTCATTATGGTGCTAGATGTGTTGTGTGCTGTCATTCATGTTTAGTGTAATTTATGTATTTTGAATGTATTGCAGAGTATGTACTGCATTATATCATGGTTTCTTGTGTAGCTAAATCTCTCAGAAGCCCTTTAGCCTGCAGCCCCACAGGAGTCCTTCTCCTTGTTGAGACTCAGGATCCCTTTGCCATGAGGCTAAGCTCTTTTTGGAATCTTATATTGAATTCTATTGGATTCCTTCATCACACTGCTGCCTAACTCTTACTGGAGTTGGTAATCACAGCCTCACAGAGGAGTCCTTGACTGCATATTGCTTACTGACTCTTCCAGTTTTCTTCTCCTGGTATTTTTTGGAGAGTGTCACCACATGGTCCTGGAGGAGTTCTTTGCACCTTTTTGGTGTTTTTTAGAGTGTTTTCCCATTTGGCTTTTTCAGAAGCTCTGCCTTTCAGGGGTGTTTCACCCTGTGGTTTTTTTCTTCATTTCTGCAGCGCCTGCCATATACTGGAGCACTTTACAGAGCCATCCTGGAGCAGTATGTCACCCCTGGTGCTTTCAGAGTGTTGTGCACCCAGATCCTGTTGCTTCCAGTGATTGCTTTCCATGTGTTACCTTCCACATTTTTTCTTCTGCAATCAGCAGATGAGCAGGTAGAGTTTTCATGGAGTTTTGACATTCCTTTTTAGCTCAGGGATGCCTTTCTCCAGGAAGTGTTACCATCTTAGTGTTTTCTGTCACTTAGTCTTGGTTTTGAAGAAGCAACTTCGTGCTCAGCGATGTTTCTTACTATCCATGATTATTTGGTAACTTTTATACTGGGTTTTTTTCCACGTTCTTTTGTTCTGGCTGGCGTTACAAAGGTCACTTTTGAAGCTGCAGGAATTCCTGCCTTGTCAGTGGTTTTGAGGAACAACTGAGGGAGCTGGGTCTGTTTGGCCTGGAGAAAATGGGGCTCAGGGGTGACGTTATCAGTCTCTACAACTACCTGAAAGGAGGTTGTAGCCAGGTGGGGGTTAGTCTCTTCTCCCAGGAAACAGGACAAGAGCACATAGTCTTAAACTGCACCAGAGGAGGTTCTAGTTGGACTTGAGGAGGAATTTCCTTCACAAAAAGGGTTAGACATTAGAATGGAGGTGGTGGAGTCACTGTGTCTGGAGGTGTTTCGGAAAGACTGGCACTCAGTGCCATGGTCTATTTGATATGGTGGTGTTTGGCCAAAGGCTGGACTCAGGGATCTCAGAGATCTTTTCCAACATAATTGGGTCTGCGAGTTAGGGCTTATCCTGGTAAAGCCTATAGGACAGGATCGTAACAGAGTGTATGAGAGAGTAAGATCTCCATGAGTCTGAGGGACAAGTGTCTATCTTGCCTCAACTCTCATTTTTTCTGCTCAATGGTGTGTGTTTTTCTGCACAAGCAGTACGGACTATTTAGAAAGGGAACAGCCCAAACACCTAGCATCTGTTACAGCCTTGCCAATACAGGGAGAGGGAGAATGCAGACACTACAAGCATTGGTTAAGTGCCTGGGTACGCAGCTGTCAAAAGCTGAAGTATCTGTTGCTACTTGGAATCATAGTAATCCTGGGAATACCTGCTTGATGCCATTCCCACGGTGTTTGTTGTGAGCTGATGCAGTTTGTGGTGATGCTGCAGAGGCAGCAGCTGGAGGGTGCTGTTGCCACGGAAAAGGCTCAAAGAAGAAGGATCACAGCAAAGTCTTAGCTCCTGAATGAGTCAGTCAGTCTCAAGGGAAATTTTCTGTGCTGGCTACTTTGATGTACGCTGGCCTGGGATCTTGCAGGTCATCCCCCTTTTGCAGAGGGACATTTGCTTTAATGACACAGCCTTTGTTTTCTCAGTGCCTGTTGCTGAGAATAGCTGCTTTTTCTTCTCCTAATGCTCTCTTAGGCATTTCAGGTTACCATTTTAGCTTCCAGGTGCACCCAGGTTTATGTTTTCAGTGTGAAGGAGCAGAGACTGGATTTTACTCTCAAGTTATCCCTGGAGAAGCTGCTGTAGAAGGAAGTGAGGCTATGGAGCTGTGCTGCAGGAGGACAGCTGAGCAGTGATCTGGTGTGGTAGCACCACAGTTGTGCATTTGGCAGCAAAAATTGGAGCTAGCCACAACCGAGACATGGTAGCATCTGGTTGATTCACTGCATGGTGATCTAAACACTGCCAAAGGATCTCTGGTCCCACCCACTCCTCATCCATGACACATGGCACAATTCTTGCATGATGGAGCCCTTACTGAACATGTTTTCCTAGAGCTTACTCTTTCTTTGTCTTTCTCTGTTTACAAGCAGATCTC